CTGACAATTGTTACCACCATCTGATACTCTATGGCAGGGGGGCTCAAACTTTTTAAACGGGGCCAGTTCACAGTCCCTCAGAATGTTGGGGGGCCGGACTATAGTTTGAAAAAAACATGAATGAATTCCTATGCACACAGAGGATCCCTCCCATAGAGTATGAGGAGAGCCGCCGGACCCAGCATACCTGTCATGTAGAATAGTCTGGCTCTGCGATCTCCCTCCTCGTGCATTTCCTGCAGCTCCCGACACTTCCACTTCTGACAGACAGCAGCGGTGGCCAATCAGGCGGGTGGGCCGGATAAATGACCCTGGCAGTCTGTATCCGGCCCGCGGGCCGTTCTTTGAGAACCCCTGCTCTGTGGCTTATTACACTTACTCCAGGAGGTTCATAATGGCCTCCTATTTTGCTCTGCATACAGTAATATCCCAAAATAAATATATAATTGTCAACCAGTTAAGTAGTTGTGAGCTGCACTGCTCAGTTCACAGTTACTGTATTTTTTGATTTGAGTAGCTGTTAGAAGCAGATCAAGCAGAATATCCAGAAATCAAGTGAAATCTGTAAAACTAAAGGCTACATGGCTTTAGATGTAAGCCCAATATTTCAGAAACAGGATTAGTCATTGCTGTTTCAGAGGAAAAGTTATGCCCCTTTGCATTTTTTTCCTGCCATAAATGACACTATAAACCAACTTTCCCTCCAAGTAGCATTTTCTTGAGAATCCTGAAGTGACGTATCTAACTCTCTGTGATGCTTATTCTCAAGTTTATTTGTATTTTTCATTTGGGTTTAAATGAAATTTTAGAAGCAAATGCAGTTTTTCTTATTTTCTCACAGATTTGGTTAACATTTATGAGATGTTTCACCTATCCAGTCAAGGACAATACAATAAAGCTTGCAGTTGTATGGTTTACTCTTTCTTTTGGGTAAGATTGATAAAGATGTAAATGTTGTAATTGTATTACGTTAACTTAGTTGCAAATTCATATTCATCAATGTGTGGTGCAATGGGCTGGATGGATGTATCCAGTTTTTACTTTGTGAAGAAAGATTCAAACATGTTAAACATGTCAGATTGCCATATCTCAGTAAATAGGATTTACTAAATTATTGTCATCTCAAATTACTCCAAATGCTTTTTGAAACTGAAGAAATAAGTCTCTGAAAGGAATAAAATTGCCTTCTTAAACATGGTTCACAATAGAACTGTTCTTTTTTTTTAAGAGGTAAATTTTGATTTATGTAGTGATATTGCTAGTGATTGGGCTTATTCCAATGGATCTGTATCTTGGCACACCTTTACTGTTGCCTTTCCAGTCACATTTTAACTCCAATATTTTTAAATTGATCTTTTTTTCACCCCTTTTTAAATTTTAATATTAATACAAAAAGTTCTTTAAAAAAAACTCTGCACTGACTTCATATTTAAATTAAAAATAAACCAATGCACACCCCTTTTCCAGTCTCTCTAGTCAACACCATTTTATCAATGTTCTTTATTTTTTTACTTCTTTTTAACAGTTTTGCATTAACTACATAATAGCTCCTACACAAGATTGTTCTGTAAATTCTATTTTAAAAATGATTGTTTAACATGATTTTAAAACTCATTAAACTGTGATTGCTCAGATGAATTGCTTTTTTCCCTATCCGCATGGTTTAAAAACTGAGTGAAACATAGTTTAAAAGAGATTACCTTTATAGCAAATTTATTGTGTGATCACAATTTCAATACAGAGTACAACTCTGTAAATACTTCTAGACAAACAGATAAATAGGTAGGACTGGAAAAGGACAGAAAAGGGCAACCAAGATGATCAGGGCAGCTAAAATAGTCTCCTGTCAGAAAGAAATGATACAGGGTCTGTTTCATATTTTTAAGAGCTGAGAAAGGGGAAACATGATAGAGATGTATAAAATTATGTCTCCTGTGAGCAAATAGAATATAGAGAAGTTTGCCTTCCTCTCTCAGAATCTGTGCCGTTTGTTTCCTTAGGACGTAATGAGGACATTAATGTGACTTTAAAAAGAGATGAGACATCCATGGAGGATCAGGCAGGGTCTACTAGTTTTGAAGCTCTAGGTCATTTACATGGTCAGAAATAGTACTACTTACCAGAGTCTCAAGGGTATCTGTGAGAAATAGGCTAAACTAGAATAGGCTTTTGGCTGATCGAGTCAGGTACAGTTTTATATGTGGCTTTCAGTGGGAAGACAGTGATTAAATAGCACTACAAATCTGGTATGCTTCTATTACTCCTCTTAGAAACAGCAAAGCAATGAAAGTCCTTTTAGTCAATGCACTTCATAGAGTGTCCTTTAAAATGCTTTGCACGTGCCCAAGTGTCTGATGTTTCTGAGTGTCTTCCTTGGAACCCTTTCTCTGCGGATTCTGAGTCATAGATTCAAGTCCCCAAGGTTAAAAACTTACACTAGAAGAAAGTTGCTTCTCCTTAGTCTTTATGGTATAATTATTAGAATTATACCCCATTTTTCCACTCAAAAAAGTTCAAGGTTTAAGGTGGCCAACAGAAAAAAATACAGAACCAAATTAAAGCAGAAAATGACATTAAAATATATAAAATTTAAAATAATGTAAAATGCAATGTCATTCAAAAAGCTAAGTTGAATAGAGATGCAGCTACTAAAATTAAATAACAGCGACCCATTGGAAGTCAGAAGACATGCTTTCACAATTTGGGAACAAGAAAAGAGAAAGCTTTCACTTGGGTTCATGAAATACAGGCTTTTTGAGAAAAGGGCCATATTCAGAAGGCCTCTGGCGCAGACCTGCCATGGTTTCTGAGGTTGATTCTCTTCTGCGGAGACAGTAGCAGAGGAAGAGAAAGAAGTTGTCAAACTTGGTTCCAAGGAATCAGACCTAGTTCACAGATCTTGGATTTGCAGTTGTCTGCATGGGAGTATTCAAGTAGTGAAACCACTTTTGTACAGCCTAATCTTGAATGCCTTGTACTTTGTACCTGTGCTTGTTGGGACTACTCAGAATCGTTGACCTTCACTAGAGTGTGGACTCTAACCATGCCTTGGCTCTTGCCCTACCACGTGAACCCTGGAACAGAGCAGAGTCTGGATGTCTGGACAGGTTCATAAGGTGGTTTACAGTAATCAAAATAACAAAATAAGTTTATTAAAATTCATCGTAATTTATTTAGCACCTCCTTCTGCTAAAATTACAAAATAAGATTACAAGCTATTTCTATTAATGCAAGCTTGGGAGCAAAAACAGAAAAGAAATCAAACAATGTCCCTTTTCCTCTGTATGTATAATCTCCAATCCCTACTTATTTCAAGGATTCAGCACTATTAATTTTTTGTTTGATCTTTCTTAAACCATGTTAAGAATTTAGAGTATGAGAACTTTGGCATAATCTATGTGCAGTATATACTGAGGAGTGCTATTTTGGCACTACTGAGGCATATGTTCAAAGTTCTGGTTTTGGAGCTTGTGGACATTGTCTTTCTCTTCATATTTTCATGTCTTACCCCCCACACCCCTATCTATATACAGTCTTGGCTTCACCTCCATTCTTTTAAAAGTTTATGAAATTGACTTATTTTCACTAATCATAGTTAATATTAGCTTCAAATGATACAATAAATAATGTTAATTTAAGATAGATATAGCAACATCAGATCTCCTTATAAATTTTGCAGAGGGGGGGTTCAGAAATCTGTGGGAAAGCTATGCATGTTCTTGTTATATCTGAATGCAACTAGAACATTTTAAAATACTACTTTTTATCAGTATATATTCAACACAATGCTGCATTACAGTTCATTGTTGTGCCATGTATTTCTGAATGCTGAAATTACACCAATTGCTTTTCATAGCTACTATGGATTGTCCGTCTGGTTTCCAGATGTCATTAAGCATCTACAAGCAGATGAATATGCTTCTAAAGTGAAGAATTTTAACAATAAGAAGATTGTGGACTTTGATTTCAACTTTACTTTGGAAAATCAGATCCATTTTAATGAGACATTCATCAATGACAGGTTGAGAAAAATAAACAACTAATCTATTTCTAAAATGAATTGCTGATTGTATATCCTGCCTTTCTTCTAATGAGTTCAAAATAATATACTTAGCACTTCTTGTCTACAGTGATTCTCTTGGGATGGGGTAAGCTGAGAGATAGTAATTAGTCCAAAGTTACCCACTAAACTTCTGTGGCTGAGGATGGACTTGAATCCGGATCTTCCAGGTTCTAGTTTAACATTTTAACTCCTGAAGCACTCTGCATTACACTCCCCTTCTTGATTTTTAATAGTTGTTACAATTGGTTTTGAAGGTTTTGTGTCATAATTGTTCATCTTACACAGACCTCTTTCCTTGGTACTAGGAAAACTTTTGCTAGATTATCATATTTTATACTCAACAGTAACCCACTGAGACAGGTTGAAGTGAACAGGCATTACTATTTGTATATCATTGTTCCCTTTTATATTTCTCTTTTTCCTTTTGGAGGTGTGGGTGTCAATATAGGTTAATTTATTTTTTGCTTTTCTTTGAGTTCGCCCTTTTCCTTCTTTTCATAAAGATAGTTAGCTCAAACTCTCAGATCAGTAAGTACTACTAGGAATTGTTTCAAATCATATTTTGGAGTAAACTTGGCAGTTAATAACCATAGTGTGATTCAGATATTACAGCATTCATTAGTTATGCAAACCAGGGAAGGTAGAACTTCACAAGATGGAAATATGTGAGCTCTTGCATTTGCTATCTTCCAAAGCACTCGGAGTTTGAGGAAAGAGAATTTGAACATATTGCTACAAAAGATTGAACCTTCAGAAGATGATATTTGTATTTAGTCATACTATTCTTCAATCAGTTGAAAAATGTTTCCAGTTAGACTTCTTGTTATATATCATGCTTTAAATCAGTATGGCAAATTCTTTGTTTCACTCAGGTTCAAAATGATGACATTCAAATCAGTTATTTTTCAAGACGTCCTTTTTCAGAACTGTTACTTTGAGGATGTTACTACACTGAATACATATTTTAGGAACTGCACTTTTATAGAGACTGTTTTCTTCAGTACAGGTATGTTGGAAAGAAATGCATTGTTTTGCTCTCCAAACCTCAACTATACGATAGTCATTTCAGTAGAGAAGAAAAATTAAGCAGACTACTTTTTAAACCTGCATTCTTACTGACTGCAGGGATGTTAAGTGTTGAATTTCTGGTTGAGCTTATTATCTGACAATTGCAGAGGTAACTAACAATTTTTCTATCAGTTTTAAGGAGAAAGAGTAGGAATATTTGACTGCAAGAGTAATTTCTTCATCTCTCTGGCATGAAGGTATTTCTGCCAAGGGTGACTGGGAAGTAGCTGAGACTTTCTGCTGGAACATGAGAAAGTTGCACTGGGCCAATTAACATGTAAACTTTTCTAGGCAGCCACTGAGAAGGACCTTTCAGGATTTTAAAGACAAAATGAAGCCAACTTCCATATGATCTCTTGAAGTGTAACCTTGGGGGTGGGTGGTGGGTGGAGGATTGAGGAGAACATACTCTGCTTAGCATCACCTTGGGAAAGAACTAAGAGTTATTGTGTTTGTTGATCCAGGTTTGTTTATTTTTCTTGAGTGTTTTTGATTAAGACTAATGCTGCTGCCAAGAACTACATCTGTTTGTGTTGGGGGGGTGGGAGGAGTTTTTTCCCGTTTTAAACAGAAACATTTTAATAGCTCAGATGTATGTATATTCTGTCATGTTAGCTTTCACATAGGATTTCTGACTGATAATTATATTAGAGTTGCAAGGAAAATACAGATAGTCCTCAGCTTATTCCATTCATTCAGCAACTGTTTAGAATTATGGCGGCGCTGAAAAAATGGACATACAACCAGTCCCCGAAGTTCTGGCCATAGCAGCACCCCCACAGTCACGTGATCACAATCTGGGTGCTTCAGTGCCCAGCTTGTGATTATGATGTCGCAGGGAGCCATCGTCATGTGAATGCCATTTGCAACTTTCCCTGTCAGCTTCCCACAAGCAGTCAATGGGGAAGCTGGCAAGGAAGGTCGCAAGTCATTCTGATAAGTTGCCCCTGCTTGCAGCATCCCCCCCCATCTTGCAGCCTCCACTAGCCCTTCCAGTCCCTCACTGCAGTTTAATTTTCATATGATAGCCTATCAAAATTTCTTGAAAGAGGCTGCATTGTATTTTGTTCCTTCTAAATAAAACAGAGGTGTGCACATATGAGTACCATATACTGCTGAATTTCAGTTCTCAGAAGTTTAACCAGTATGATCAATGTTGAAGAATGAGAGAAGTTGCGTTTAAGCAACATCTGAGGGCCACTGGTTACCTAGCCAGGAGTGAAGAGTAGCCTTCTTGCAAGTGGGCCATTTCATTTCATTTCATTTCATTTCATTTCATTTCATTTCATTTCATATTTTATTTGGAAAATCAGCAATCCAGTAAATATATAACCATTAAACACATTTTAAAAACTTGAAATTAATGTTCATAAAAAGATTAGGCATTGATTAGGATTCTGAGGGATACCGTGTTCGGTGCTTTTTAATTTATAGGGTTATAAATAGGGGTGCTCAAAATGTAAGACATGTTTAATTTTTAGCATGGAACATTCTAAAGGAATTTTCTGAGTTGGCCAGATTCCACTGGAACAAGACTTAAAATAACTCAAATGCTTTGTTTACAGGAAACAATGGGAACTTAGATTAAGATGTGTCCTTATTTTTCACCCCAGCCCAGGACCACAGATTAGCTTGATGCTATCAGCCAGCCAACTTGCAGAAAAATTGGCCAAACTCCATTATCAAAGATCAGGGAAACCACTTATTTTCTCTGTCAGCATTCTTCTATTTTTTTCCCCTAAGGGCTGCTAATTGAAAGGAATGTGAGGAGACATTAGTATGGTTTTCTCCCATGTTCCTATCAATTATCTCCTGCTTTAAGTCAGACATGCTGGCAGAAAATGAATCTCAGTAAATATACACAAATAGAATTTCTTTGAAAAATCAAATGTTTTAAATTTATTTTATCAACTGTAATGTAGTTTGCCTAAGTCCACCCCAGTATTTACTTTTCTGGTTCAGTCAGCTGGTTTACTACAGCTTTTGCTGGAATGAGAAAGCTAGCAAAAGAAAGAGAACGGTAAGTGCTGCTGTCTGGAAGAGGGGCCCTATCAGGAAAACATAAAATCCCTCTTGCCTGGCTATGTCTATTTGCATGTCAAAATGCTCAACAGCATAGAAGAAAAAAGAGAGCATAATGAACTATGCACACACCTTTGCTGGATTTAGTTTTAGAGATATCCAAATCCCAGCACCAAGAGAACACAGTGCATACCTACCCGAGCTCAAAAAGCCAGTTATACTAATATAATTGTTATTTTTCACATTGGCCATTCATGCAAGTGGGTGGGCTGAAGGATGACAGGGCTACAGCCAGTGAATGAATCCACTGCAGTTCAGAGAGTGCAGAGACTAGTTGTGGGGTCTCACTCAGATACTACTTAGGCTGAAGCCAGGTGACCTGCATGGAATCTCATCCAGTGTATATCTCTCAGGTGACATGATCCAGGAAAGTGGTCTAAGCATAACTAAGGCAAGTCAGTGACTACTCAGAATGTCACCCAACTGAGTTGGAGTCTTAGGAACAGCCATCACCCCACATCATCAGCCATATCTGGTAGTGGAGAGACTGCTACCAGTGGTCTAGAAAGCCAAGAAGGTGCTCTTCCAGTGCCACGTCAGGAAAGTGAGGGGAAGTTCACTTTAAGGAAGTCATGAGGCATACATGATAAGGTGGTGCAATATTATCTATCATGGAGAATACTTTCTCACTGGCTGGTAGACAAGAACATATCCCAGGAAATGTTTGTCAGATCTGGTGAGAGCTCAGCATTGGTTGCCTAAAACAAGGCCAGGTGCTTCATCTCACTTTCCTCTAGCTTGCTTGAGCTAACTGGCAGAGTGAAAAGACAGCACCTCTCTTTTCTCCCTGGCATGTTGTTGCAAGATGATATGGTATACCATGGAGAATTCTATGCTCTAACTAGGTTTGTTGCAGCTGCTATTGGTTGTAGAACACAACAATGGGAAGAATTATGGAATAAATCTATAAAATTTGCTCAAAGTTATAACTTAAGAGAAAACTGGTATAAAATGTTTATAGATTGTATACAACTCCATCAATTGCCAAGATAAATCATATAGTAATAGGTATTGGAAATGGCATGAGACAGAAGGAACATTTTACCATATGTGGTGGACTTGTAAAAAAACCTCAAAACTATTGGAAAGAAATACACGGCACTACTCAGATAATTTTAGAAATCAAATTTGAAATGAAACCACAACTCTTTTTACTCGACATCATTCCAAAACATACCAACAACAACAAAAAATCACAATTTACGAAGATGTGTGTTTACAAGGATAGATTTAGCACAATATTGGGAAAGAGATACATTACCAAAGATATCAGACTGGGAACTTAAACTTGGAGAATATGCAGTAATGGCAAAATTAACAGCATGTATTCACAACAAAATCTAACCAAATTTAAGCAAGAATGGCTTCCTTATGTAGCAAGGCAAATATATGTATCTAGACTAGAATATGGTTTTTAAGGGGAAAACTGACTAAAGAATTGAAATCAGAGACACATGGACATAAAATTTAAATGTCTATAAATATTGTATATTAGAGTATGATAAACAGGAAGTTAGAAACTAATATTTACAGGTAGACCTCAACTTACAACCCCAATAAGGACCAGAAAATTTGTTGTTAAGCAGTGCAGTCGTTAAGTGAGGTGTCATGTGACCACATCCAATTTTATGACATTTTTTGCAGTGCCATTAAGTGAATCGCCACGGTCATTTAGTGAATCACGCGGTTCCCCATTGATTTTGCTTGTCAGAAACCAGCTGGGAAGGTTGCAACTGGTGATCACTTGACCCCAGGATGCTGCAACGATAAATACACGCCAGTTGCCAAGCATCTGAATTTTGATTACATGACCATGGGGACACTGCAGTGGTCATAAGTGTGAGGACCGGTCATAAGTCACTTTTTCAGCACTATTGTAACTTCGAACAGTCGCTGAACGAATGGTCGTAATCAATGACTACCAGTATCTATAATGTTTTTAGTAGTTTTTTTCCTCTTTTTTGTATTTTTAAACAAGAAATAGTGAAGATTTTGGTATTTAGCTCAGAAATTTACTTACATTGTTAAAACAATTTAATGTATTTAAAGGTAATTTAATGTTTTTCTAATCAAAGATACATTGAACACTAACTCTACAATTTGACAATTCCATTGTCCACTTTTGATACTGTATTTCTGTACCAATTTTTTTTTCTTTTTGCTTGTTTGTTCACTCTTTGTTTTTCTTTTAAAAATGATTAATAAATAAACTTTTTTTAAAAAAGCTACATTTGATTTAGCAGAAGTAAGTATGTTATTTATAAAACATTGGTTAATTTATTTATTTTTCTTCTTTCCAGTTGACAACAGTAAAAACATTTAAAAAAATAAACACAGAAAAATTATTTTACAAGAACATATTTATGTCCTGCTGAGGAATAGTCATGTCTAGGTTAGCAAACCCAACAATACAAAACTAACAGAGTATCATTAAACATTAATATACTGGAATATTAATGTACTGGAATATAATACTGAATATTAATGTTGGCCTTTGTAGGCAATATGTAAAAGAACCAGTATTTGAAATGTATTAAAATTGCAGAGTCCTTGGGGTTTTCTGAGCTTGGTTGTTTTCTTGCAAACATTTCCCAGTTGAAACTATTGTTAAGTCTGTCCATGTGTTATGAGATTAAGGAGTTTTCATCATGTCTTCTGACTGCAGTTGGTGCTCATGGATGCACCCTGCTAGCCTTCTGCCTGTCTGTCCTACATCGTGGAACTGTCAACATCTTACACCAAGCTAAATCCAAAAATGCGAAGGAATACCTGGAAGCTTGGAATTCAGACAAGTCAGCCATCAACAGGCACATAGAGATAAACAACATCTACACACTATTCAAAAGAGACAATAAAAAGGAAACAAAAGACCAGAACATCTCCTCACCCAGATAAGCAGAGATTAACACCAAGATTATCACCAGACAGACAAGTAGTAAATAATACCCTAATCAAAGAACTACCAGGAAGAAACACACGCACACCAGCACTGGTAGGGCAAGCCACTGTATATAAACAGAGAGCAAACCCCACTCCATTCTAGCACTGAAGATGT